ATATATATATATATATATATAGAAATATATATTATAGAAATATATATATATATATATGAAAATTATATATATAATCTATGAAAATTAGTATAAAAGTTAGATACTACCGAAAAAATTATTGTGTTATCATACGAAAATTTCTATTCTTCAATATCATTTATCTTTCCTATTGTTTCCTTTCTTTTTACCTATACATGTAAACTCCAAAACTAAGAATTCTTTGCTCCATATACACCTATATCTTCCATATTTCCAAATTAATCGTGCCCTTCTCAGAATGAAAAAATGTATCCAAACTCCTAAATGAAAATGAAATATAAACTCCTAAAAATGAAACATTTTACAGTGTAAAAATGAAACAATTTAATATGTACAATTCCATAAAAACGAATAGATAAAATTCTTACAGACAAATTTCCACGACTAATGCACATGCAGTTCTACAAAAAAAGTCCACAAATTCTTACAGACAAATTCCCATAGATAGTCGAATGAAAAGAACGAAAGAAGAGAAAGGACGAGAGGAGGAAGATAACGTCGAAGAGCGGTCGAACAACCACGCGGCTAGAAATTATTACGCTATTATCACGACGATTATCGTACGGGATCTAATATTACACGTACATATGCGTCTCGCCTTGACATGTCGTAATGGCGGTCGCAAGAACAAGGACACCCACCGCGGCAGGATAACATCGTATCGCATAGGCTACACGGCCAAGTACACGTCCTGTGGCTCTCACTTCTATTTTTATGCTAGTTTTCTACCCTCTGTTATTCACTGTTCGCTTCGACTTCGATTGTGCCGTGTGTTGCACGATTAGAATCGATCTGCCCACACTTTTCCTCATCCCTTACGTGACTCTACGCGAAACCCGATGCCGTGACAGAGAGAGAATGAGAAAGAGCGCACACACATACACACACATACAAGGGGTTGATATTTTGATTTTAATCGATTTTTCTTTTTTTTTTTTTTTGATTTGGATGTCACTGGATAAACACGGTTTTTTGCTGAATGACGCGCTCGAATAGAACAGCGGATCGACCATTCATTAGACTCCATTGTAGTATCATTAACGTTTCGAGTATGCTAGCCTAGTGTTATCGAATTGCAGCGAACGTGTAACTTTAGACCAGCTGAAAGGGGTTGGGCCGACAGAAATAACGCGGTGGTTTCGTGCACAATTTTATCGCGTTATGCCCGAGATTTTAATTAAACAAACGGGTAAACAACTAACCAGAACGTCCCACTGCGACATTTACATTCTCTTTACGTTGTTGGAACGTCGCGAGCTGGCAAGGAGAATTTTCATGCTTTTTACACGTCTGGATTCTTTGGTTTTCTGTTTGAATTACGATAACACTGGTTATCTGTCTGATAAAATGGAAGTATTTGCCGAGATTTGATAGTATGGCGATATTGTATCGTATCCAGGAAATGTTTACCCGATTAGACCCGACAGCACGCTTCTGCGAACCCGCTGCGAATTTATTCGACGAAGTTACGAAGGCCGTTCATCGTCAAGGATAACCAGCAGAGAGCCAGCCGATTCGACCGTATATGTAAACACAACCAGCGATTGGTCGAGGGCACCAGCGATAACACATCGACGCGAAAGAACCGCGAATCCTTTCCAAACACTGGCACAAACCTACCCCTTGAACTTAACCTTACCATCTTTTACCGTCAACGCACCCCCGTCGTCCAATCGCAACTGCAACCCCCACCGAGAAAAGATTCACCGGAAAATTCCACATACAAAGAATCTACAACAAAGAACTTATCGCGATATCAGCTCTCGACTGATGAATATCAGAGCGGTGTCACAGCGGGATGAAAAAAAACGGAAGACTATGTATCTAAGCAACACCTGTGCGTTGTCACAAAGCACTTACGTCGTGATCGGTGGTCTCGGCCAGACAGACGATTGGTTGTCCACGATTCGGGATTCGATCGGCACGTGCACGCGTGACGGTGAATGAAAACGAGAGA